TTTCTCTTCTGTAGTCACCAGCCACTTTTCGTGCCCCCTCCCTTGTACTAGTCATATCTGGTCCACTGGTTTCCATTGCTAGCTGTCAGTTATACATGAAAGAGCAGATGGCAAAAAAGAAATAATTTTCCAACTTGTATAAATGTGGGAACTCATTTGCAAGCTTATACCAAACAACAAAACAAAACAAAAACCCCAAGCTATTTCACAAGAGCAAAAGACCACACGTCTGGTATTTAGCCAAGCATACTCCTGCCCCCACTCTTGTCAGTATCCTTGTCAACTTCATCCTCCATTTTGGTACTTTCTTGCTAGCATATACCTTTTTTAACATGTTGCATCACCTTATGCTAAAGTAAGAACACCTGTCACTTAAGCACTTCCTCTCTCATAGCCACCAGCCACTTGTCCTTATCAATTTCATCTTCCACTTCAGCACTTTCCTTCCCAGAAAACACCTTTTTGATTTTGAAGCCTGTTTTTATTTCCCTCTTGCAATCTGAAGCAGAGTTGCCCTCATCAGACAGCCAATACAGAAAGGCTGCTTCCCTACGCAGGGAACTTTTTTAAAGGCAGCTTCACATTACACTGAAGTAAACACACCTGAAAAATTGGTGTCCTGTAACAGCAGGGGGTTGGACCTGGTGGCCTTCATGGCCTCTTCTAACTCTACTGTTCTATGATCTGCCTCTAAAGCTCCACCCTGAGACTGAGAAGGGATGAAAATCAATGGTGCTGCCACCAGAAAGATAAAAGGAGCAGCAGAGGTTTTCCCACTCTTGCTAGCCAGCTCTCTGGCTGTTCCTGTTGACTCATGAAAAAAATCAACCTGCCAAGCTTAGCCATAAGGAAAAGCCATCCTGAGATGGGGGCTATTTGAAACAACCCTAGTAAAGCCATACTTTCTCATGAAGTTATCCATGATGGGAAACCCACTCCAGGTTTGGACATCACAGTAAGTCATTCTGTAGCCACCCATGATCGCATCTACCATGGTTTAACATTATGTCCCTGGATGTTTCCATTGTGCAATTATCCTGCCTCAAACACAGAGTTTTATTAGGGAGTCCAGATGACATTCTATTTGCAATACTCTTAAGTCTTTCCATCACATCTTTCACCTTTTCTCTTGATGAAATGGAACTTGTTAAAGAGGGAAAGATGGAAGAACTACATGACAACTTTTGGCTGGTAGTGCTAGTAACTGGGAACATTATTGAACCAATGTAAACTGCCGCTGAATTGCTTGAGGTAGATTCAGAAAATAACACGTGATGAGATCCTCTTATAAACAGGTTGCCTGAGATGGTTGCATAATAAATGGACTCTGCAGTCCCCAAAATTGTTATGAAAAGCACAAAAAGTGGGGCATAAGGAGCAAAATTGGATCCTTGTGTATAAACTTGCCACTGTGAATTCATTGTTCACAAATCAAAGCAGAGAGTTTCCCACTGGCACAATGCACGTAATAAACTCCATGCCAGACACCTTGGAAATGTGTTTAAGCCCCCTCAAAAACTGGCAAAAGACAAAGACACTGCGGACATACATGCAGTCAGGCTGTTTTCCATTCATTGCCAGCAATACGCATTACCTCTAAAACAAATCTGGCCACTGTCATTGGAGAATGGATCATATTTAAAAAGGCACTGTAGCACAAGAAAAGCAGGTATCTCTTTTTCACCTTGTCATTAAAATTAGAGCAGGTAGAAATTCTATGAATCTGACTTTCCAGTTCTCAGCAATGGGCTGGACCAATAACTTGCATTCATTTGAGCTTACATTCCTTTTGCATGACTTCACTGTTTTCACTTACTAGCGAGCTTTGCATTTATGTGATAGCTTGCTAGTTTCACTTCTAAATCAAATATTTGATTCTCATAAATCTGAAACTTGCTATCATCCCAGTTATTGTATGGCTTAACACATTTGGAGTGACAGTGACTACAATGATGGTAACAAAACCCTTGTACATTTCATATGAAGTACAGGAAGAAGCAAAGTACATGAGATAGTATGCCAGCAAGTTACCTTTCCCCAGGTTTCTATTATGCACATACATTAAAAAGGCCTTTTCAATAGGACAGCTCTAAGGAGCTGCCTGTTTAGCAGCAGCATAGTTTAACCTGCAGTGAAAGTCACCTGCATTCTCTCAGTCACACTTGTAGTTGCAGGACGAGACCAGGTCCCTGCAGCTACAGCCACTTCAAACCACTTTAGCTCCTCTGTGTGCTGTCCCTCTTCGATCCTACCTACTGCTGTGCCTGCCTGCTGTCTGAGATAGAATCAGCGTCAGACGCAGGGGAGGCAGAAGAGTCTGCCAACACAATCCAAGCAGAGCAGCGTGTCGCCCATGAGAAATGTCAGCTTTTATTGCTATGCCGTTCCATGCTGACCCTCTGTGAGCAAACCTTCCAAAGAGCAATGCACTCTGTTTTTCCAAAGGTGTTATCCCAATCAGGGTATTTTCCAAAAGACTAACGAGGGTGTCTTTAACCTTCTGCTCCTCCTGACAAATACATTTTAATAACATTTTTTCCAAGTGGATTAAAGGCCTGATATATTGAAAAGGCTGTGTGCTTTTCATTCTTAGGTTCATGTTAACACATGTGTTGGAGTCCACCTATTTTAGTGCTGTCCTAGTTCTCACTGAGCTGATAAACCTTTGTCTGGGCTGTTCTGTTTCAGACAGGAGGTGGAGGCTCCTATGACTGAGTGTTCCTCCACACCAAGTGGAAAAACACATCCACATCTGAAACTGTTATGTCAGGGAGACAACTAGGCTAGAATCCATCTTGTTGCCACTTAGTTCTCTATGTGAACAGATTTTTGAACTTTCAGCCATGTAAGCCTCACCTGCAGTCTGAAGGGGTCCAGCCCAGACACAGGTTTACCCAAAATCAGTCCCAGTAGACCAGTCTAGGAAATTAGACTGATCTACACTTAGGTCACTATCAAAGCACTGGGACATGATGTATACATGAAAGTTGCTACCTGAGAACCATGTTGGTTTCATGGTGCTGAAAATAGTTCTGGAGAACAATTTTGTTTCCCATTTTAAGAGCTAAATTAGAATTAAGTATTACTAAAGTATTACTAAATCCAAGCAACAATTGTGAAACTGGAGACATGTCAAAGATTTGAAGTCACTGAATATGCAAAGAATTGAATGACTTTCGCTTTGATTTTGAAACCCATTCGGTTTGTGCATGCTGGCATTACAGTTCACATACAGTTATGGTAACTTTATTGAGCTTCTACGTCTTCTTCTCAGACACATCTATCTATCTCTAACTGCAGCTATAAAGATAAATGTGTCTGAAAAGATACATTTGACACATTTTCATAGTTGACTTGTTATATGACTATTAACATTCTAGATACGGTTTCTTTTGTGTGTTTCTTAAAATTGTAGCCATAAAAAGGGTACAAGCTATCAGGTTGCCAGACACTATAAGGATTGTGCACATTAATGACACCTCAGCTATTTGCATGTGTGCTATTCTCAGCTTGGATCAATTGCTGATGACTAGATGGTTCTGTCTGTGGTCAGGCTTTATTCATTTCATGCATCTACAGTTTTTTCAAAGTGGTTTGTGTTTCTTTGATATGGGCCAGTAGTACAGATGCATTTCTATGACAAGACCCTAAGCTATTAGGACTCTCAACTCTCTGTTGGAATTCCTACATAATTGCTGATATGCCCAATTCAGTTGCAATGGGTTATAGAACTACCTACACAAAACTCTTGTTTGAGAGCTAGTTCCAGGTGTTGAACTTGAGCTGGGGCTTTATTGTTATTCCTCAGCTACCTGATTCATTCAGATAACATGTAGGAAGCTATGTATTGCTGCTGCTGCTGCTGCTGCTACATTGAATTTGTATCTCACCTTTTTCCCTCTTGTGATAAATGCATGTCTTGAGCAATCCGGTGAGCTGTTAAGTTTGCCACTCTGTCTATGGAGTGCTGGACTGGATGGACCTTTGGTCTGATCCTGCATGGCTTTTCTTGTGTTTTGATTGTTCTGTAAAGTTGCACTCCTAAGCAAAGTTACACAGGAGTAAGTTTCATTGACATACAGCCCATGTTTTTGAATAAACATACTTGGGAATTTTTTCTGTTAATGCTAGAGCAAATTCATGAATGAGAATGCAGTCTTGAGTTTTGGGATTTGTTAGCTTGTGAGGTCAAGAAGGTGCCCACTCTCTTAATTATCATAGGGGCCATATCTTTCCCACAACTACCATTCCACCCACAGAAAATTCTGCTGGCAGCAGGGTCAGGCCAGCCTTGGATCTACTGGATGCAAAGCCCTGCAGCTTCTCCAAGGTGCCAGTTTTTTTTGGCTCCTCAGCTTCGCCAACATGGAGCTTGCATAGGAGAAAAGAAAATGAAAAATTATCCTGCTTCCACCCTGCTTCCACCCTGGCAAGCTTGAAGCAGCAGGGCTTGGAATTCAGTGGCCTATCTGTTATGCTTTTCCTTCTAGACTCCACTTGGATTGCTTGGTGACTTGCTGTTGTGCTTGCCGGAAAACTGAGTTGAGAAAATTATTGGGAAACTGCTCACAAGAAAAGAGAGTTGGACGAAAGGCTCCCCATATTGTTCTCCCAAAAATTTGGTGGCAAATTATTACCTTTCCCATTGTCTAGTTGCATTGCACAATCAGTGGTTTACACTAATGAAATGTGATTAGTGCTAAAACTGGGGCATAACTAAATACTACTCTTAGAACCCCTGTATATGCAGTTGTTCCTTTTGTCACATGTTACTGCTCTTTTCCTAAGGTATTCCAGATTGCACTAGAAAGAATACCCTAGACTAGACATAACTGCAGTGAAGTGTGGAATATTGAAACATACTATGTAATACAATATGAACTTGATAAAATACTTAATATGAATGTTCATGTTGAAGGTAACACTTTTATACATGAAGTTGCTTATTGTTGCAATATAAACATATAACACAGTGCTTTTCTTATCCTTCTGCCCTATAGTATGATTTTATGGAACGTTTGGATGGGAAAGAGAAATGGAGTGTGGTGGAGTCCCCACGAGAGCGTCGAAGTATCCAAACTCTTGTTCAGAATGAAGCTGTATTTGTTCAGTACCTGGATGTGGGGTTGTGGCACCTTGCCTTTTACAATGATGGCAAAGATAAAGAAGTGGTATCTTTCAATACGGTTATCTTGGGTATGTATGTCTTGGCTGTGGTCTTTGGAAAAAGGAGGAAACAGCATTCCCTGCCCTTCATGTGTGTCCATGCCGCAATCCCAAAAATATTTACTTGTGAAGGAGCTCCTTTGAAATCAGGAGAACTTACTTTCAAGTAAACATGACAAAGTTGCTTCAGATGTTACCGCACGAGCAGTATCCAGCAGGTTGCTTATATGCCAACAGATTCTTTTCCACCCCACCAATTCCATTGTGTGAGAGGCAGTTCTACCAATAGCATTATGAAAGAGGGATGTACCAATTCTTCAAGGAAAATGTTTGATTTCCTAGGGGAAACTGCAGAAGGAATGGAAAGCGCTAAAGCACTTTTGCACAAGTGGTAAAGGCTGCTTATGCTATGCCCAGTTGGATTTTACCCCACGTGAATGTAATCAGACACATCTCTAATGTCTGAAAAGGAATTTATGAATTTACATATAATCCCTGCTAAATATCCTTTTTGACAGGGCATTTGGAAAGCATTTATTCATAGGGTCACCATAAGTTGGATGGCACATAACATAGTTGCCTTTTTTAGAATATATTTTTATTATGCTGGCAATATTTAAAATAAACCAAATTAGATGAATGCTTATATAGTAGTCACATGGGAAAATATTGCTAGCAATATTGCTTTTGTATTTTTATTTTATACCAGTATAACTCTTCTAATTAACCCTTTATCTGGAAGTAGGTAAGATGTTGCAATAAATAACGTATTTGTGGGTGTACACATGCAAACATGTATTTGAAGTTTAATGATACACATACATGATATGCTTAGTTGCCCGATGTGCCACAAAACCTTCTAGTAATGCATGTTTGATAGCTTGATACATTGCCTTCCATACAGTTTTGTTGAAAAGTATTGCTTTAAGTACTGTGTATAAGAACATTGAAGTAACAGGTACAATATTTAGATAGACTTCTTGATCATGCAGTAACATTAATTGGGATGAAATGCAAATAAAAATACAGTATTTTATTTGGTTCAGAAGTCAGTCAGAGATTTTCAGGCTAAATACACATATAAATGTGAAAGATCATTTTATGCATGAAATAACTAGAAAATGTATATAGCCATTCTTTATAAATGAACAAGCTAATACTACAAAGGAGCTTTTCTTATCACCATTACTTTGATTGTTGTTTCAAATGCTGATGATGGTTATTGGCAGTGCCCTTTTATTCACTGGATGTTACTTTTTTCTTTGTGTTTCTATTGGCTCAAGAGCCAGAACAATAAAGGTAGTAGCATTTTCACCTTTTATACATTTTTGTGTATATATAAAGTGTGTATATGCACATATAGTCATAGAGGCATATATTCATGAGGTATCTAATTTATATAAATCAAACATAGATATATTTATCGCTTTGGTGTTTTAAATTCTATTTTTAAAATCAAAAAATTAATTGCAACTGTAGTGTAAGGAGTATATATATTGAGAATGTGCCCTTCAGATTGTATATTCGTGTTGATATCCATAGATGCTCATTAATGCATTTATTGAGAGCATGGATTTTTAATCTAATAGAAATAAATTAATATATTAATAAATTATGCAAATTATTTGTGTACAGTAGAGAGAAAATATGTCTGAAATACACTCTGTTCCATAGTGTATCCATTCAGCATTCACAACCCAATAAACCATAGTTAAACTATAGTGCAGGGTTTTCATATGATCATAGCCCACAATTCAAGAACAGCATATACTCAGTCCATACTCTTGGCTGATGATATGTTATGTGAGAAGAATGTCTGATTGATGCAAAAACTGGTTTATACATAACAGTGGCAAATAATATTATAATTAATCCATGCTGCACCTAAGTGGCTTCGGGTTTACATGGTCAGACTTCAGTCAACCTGGTTATAGCTTGCTTAGTGGCATCTGAACCTGGACTGTTTGAGTTATTTGTCATTAAACAAATCAAAGGTAGCTTACAATTAGTTTTACGTTAATTCTGGGTAAAATACCTCACAATTTACCATGGTAGTATGCAAACAGAGCCATTTCCAGTAACAGTAACAGCATTTAAAAGGGGGATCTTTGCTTTTAAGAGAAACATTACTGTTGGAACTAATTCTCTGTTGTGTACAATAGGGGAGTGTAAAAAAAGAAACTTATAATAGAGTGTGATTGGCCACACACACATAGAATTTACTGTTTATGATACAACCCAGAGCTGGTTTTTTTTGGGCTAGGCTTTTTGCCATAATCTTCAGGTGTAAATACTAGTTTGAACTATGCAGTGACGTATACTAACCCATCAGCAAGCCAGTCTCTGTGAAGTTAGTAGTGATATAAAGTGTGAAATAAAATCAATTCCAGCATTTCTTTAATAATGAAAATATTGCCATAGACCCTCTGTGTACTATATCATAAATGAGAAATAAAATCCAACATTGCATTTGTTGTTAAAAATTTAAGGCTACATTCCTATGCCTACATATATGGGAATGGGTCCCATTGATCTTAGTGAGGTATATCTCTGAATAGACATGGAGATGTTCTTCGTCGTGGCCTCTGTGCATCACACATATGGGGGTGCTGTGCCTGCGCAGTGCCTAGGCCGGAAGATTAGAAAGCTAATGGTTTTTGGCGGGAAAACTCCACTCCCCTCCCCCTTCGTGGTATAAATAGAGCGGAGTGTCTGCCATTTTGTTCAGTCTTTGCGACCACCGTTCACTGTGCCTCGTGCCTGTTAACATCCTCGCTAAGATCTTGAGTCCTTACTGTTCCTTTTGCTTTTATCCCTTCTTTAACTAATTCTTATATTCCAAGTTTATATTCCAAGTTTGTATATCCCTCTCTTTTTCTTCTTCTCAAAAAAAAAAAAAAACCAAAACAAAAAAAACTCAAAAATATTATCTTACCCTCTATCCTGTCATCTTTTCTTCTTTTTCCGTGATGGCGCAGCGAGTGGCCTTTTGCAAATGCACCGCATCCGGATCCAAAATGTCACCTGTGGATCCACATGATCTATGCCTCCTCTGCCTCGGCGAGGGGCATAGAACCGACAAGTGCGGCCATTGCTTGGCCTTTACCAAGCAAGCGCGGAAGAACAGGGAGAATCGTCTCCGCAAGCTCCTCTGGGACCAGGCCTTGATGCAATCGGACCAACTGCTCTTACGGCCTGGTTCCTCTTCAGCCGCACCGCCTCCTCCACGCTCCACCCCGACTGTGAGCGCTCCTCCGAAGCGTCCCGCTTCCACCGCTCCTCCTCAGCGTCCTTCGGCTGAAGGCGCTACTCCAGCAGAGACCCAGGTGCCGCCTTCTTCCCCAGCCAAAACACGGGAGAAGCGCAAGCACACGGGTTCAGATAAGCCTTCCGCTCGTAAAGTTCCGAGGAAGGAGAAGGCAGATAAACCCGCTCACAAGACCAAGAAACCCAATCGCCCCAAACACCGGGGCTCGGATTCATCTGTTTTTTTGGTACCGTCCGCTGCCACAGTACCGACCCCTTCAGGACCGGCCCTGCAACTTACTATGCAGGTAACACTGCCGGGATCCCCCAGGCCTCTCATTCGGCCTGAGAGCGTGCCGACCCAACAAGTGGAGGAGCCACTTTGGGAGTCTATCTCTGATGGCGAGATTAGAGACTCCCCACTGAGGGAACGGTATCCGACTCCAATGCCCACGACTGAGCCACCTGTGGGGTCACCTTTGCCTCCAAGGCGCTGCAGCCACTCGTCCGAACACCGGGGTGACGACTACAGGATGCACGGATATGGTGCCTTCCAGACTGGGGTGGCTATCAATCTTATTCGTACTACCCTCGGGATCGTGCATCTCCATCGGCCCCGAGAGATTTGCCTTTGACGGCCAGGCATGTGGAGAGGGGACGTCCAACCTCCCCAGAAAGGTCATCTTCGAGCGACTGTCTACTTTATTATCCGGACTCGGATGAATCTGAGGTTGACTCTACATCCCGCGATGTAGCAGTCGCCTCCCAAGGACCGGCATCGCCCGATGAGCCACATGTCTCCTTTACGGAGCTCATGTCCTGCCTCATCTGTTCACTAGAGATTGAGGCTAGTCAACAGCCAGGCCCATCCATGGATTGCTTCTATGATGTCGTGAGGGGAGAACAGTCCACGGCCATAATCCTGCCGCTTATTACCACACTTCGGCAGGCTATGGTCCAACCCTGGGATCAACCGGCCCAACCGCAAGCAACCTCCCATTGGTATGAGGCCATGTACAGAGTTCAGGAGAACGACATTCCGTTCCTGATTCACCATCCACGCCCGAACTCTGTTGTCATCGAATCCTCCCAGGGCAGGGAGTCAAGGGGACACACAGCCCCTCGCGACAAGGAAGGGAGGAAGATCGATATGCTCGCCCGCCAAGTCTATGCAGCCTCTGGACTCGGCGTATGCATATCTAACTATGAAGCAACACTGGCACGTTACCAGTATTTTATTATGCAAAGACTGGATAACGTTGCTTCCTCCCTTCCAGACCGCCAAGCCGAGCTTGCCAGGGTATTCATCAAGGAAGCTATGCAGATAGCAGTGCAGCAATTATCTACCGCACGACATCACGTAGATACCAATTCGAGAGCTCTCGTGAATGCCATCTCACTGCGCCAACACACATGACTTCGTAATTGCAATTTCCCCAACAAGATGAAACGGAGGATCGAGGAAATGCCATTCGACGGTACCGGGTTATTCCATCAGAAAACCGACCGCAAGTTAAAAGCGATACACGAATCGCGTATGACCGTGCCGCATGGAGCTTCCTCAACAGAGGCATAAGTGGCAAGGGCCTCGTTCCTCTTACCGTCCACAATTCTACCCTCGGCAACACTACCAACAAAGACAGCAATGGCGAAGACAACAGCCGCAGCAATGTTTCCCCCAGGGCCAGCGGCACTTCGACGCTGACAAACGTCCACATTGACGGTCCGGTCGAACCATTCTCTCTCTCCCCACACCACCTTTCCCTCTCCCTTTTGGGGACCGGCTCCAGGGTCAATTCCCCATTTGGGAGACCATTACATCTGATAGGTGGGTGTTGTCTATCATTCAGTTCGGATATAGGATAGAATTCGATGTCGTCCCTCCACCGTGTCCGATTCGATTTACATCTTCTTCATTGGTACTGTGTGAAGAAGTCTTTCAGTTGCTTCGCAAGGGCGCGATTCGACAACTATCCCTCTCAGAGGGATTGCACAGATTCTACTCCAGATACTTCACGGTCCTGAAAAGAGACGGTGGTCTTCGTCCGATTTTGGACTTATGGAATCTTAACAAATACATCAAAACAAAAAAGTTTCGGATGACCACTTTACAGAGTATTTTTCCGTTACTGAAGAGAGAGGATTTGTTTGCCTCCTTAGATTTGAAGGATGCTTATTTTCATATCGCTATCCATCCTTCACATAGACGTTTCCTGCATTTCACTGTTGGGCTCGACTTGTTTGAATATGCTGTGCTACCCTTTGGCCTGGCCACCGCACCTCGAGTTTTTACGAAGTGTATGGCACCAGTATGTGCACACTTACGGACAAGAGGAGTGCAAATATACTCATATTTAGACAACTGGCCAATTGTCTCCGAAACTAAACAAGGGCATCTGTCTGCAATACACATGACCTGCGCCTTGCTTGATGATCTTGGACTATGTATTAACCACGAAAAATCGTCGCTTATTCCCACGCAGGTCATCAACTTTATCAGGCATGTCTCGACTCCACCTGGGAAAGAGCTTTCCTCCCTCCGGACCGTCGCGCTACCTTATGTGCCCACATCCATCAAATCCGAACACTAGGAATGGTTCTGGCTATATCCATTCAGAGACTATTGGGGCACATGGCTGCTACAGTTGCCATTGTCCCATATGCCAGACTATGGATGCGGACCATGCAGCTGTTTTTCAACACGTCGTTTTGCCCACAGCGTGATTCTCCCAACAAACTGATCCGAATTCCATCTGTGATACTCTAATTTGGTGGACCATTCCAAGCAACCTGTCTGTCGGTGTCCCGTTCCAAACACCTCATCCAACGAAGACCCTGTATACAGACGTGTCGCTACTGGGATGGGGCGCAACATGTGCGGACCTTCGAGTTCAGGGAACTTGGAACCGACAGGAAGCAAGGAAGCACATCAACGTCCTCGAACTACAGGCGATTTTCAACGCCCTAAGGGCTTTCGAGACTGTC